ATATATATATATATATACTGTATATACACATATATATATATATATATATATATATACACACATACTGTATATATACACTGTTTATAAGGGTGTACGTGACATGTTAGCACAAGTCATCCAAAACACGTCTTATCGTCAAGAATGCAGGACAATAGAGAACCTCAGTATGACTTTCAAGTGACACCTGGGGCCACATTGGCACATCTTGTTACACACGATTGAGTCATCTTATCGAAAACATTTCCTGAAGTCATATATTGCTGCGCGTGTTCTTTGGTACATGAGGTTGTGGTGAATTAGAAAATACTGTGTACTTAACTGTGGGCGATCAGCTGGTTTTATGGGTGAATAGTTTTATTTAGAGACTAATGAATAGTAAATATAGTTCGAGGTTTTGTCAAACCATGTCCGCTTAGTACACCGAATGACCAAAAGTATGAGGACCAAATCAGTTCAGGTCTCTCCAGTGAAGGGGATTGTTAATGCCACAACATACAAAGACATTGTAGGCAATTGTGCTCGTCTAACTTTGCGGTAACAGTTTGGTGGAGGCTCTTTTCTGTTCTACCATGACTGTCCCCTGTGTACAAACCCAGCTCCATAAAGACATGGTTTGCCCAGCTTGGTGTGGAGGAACTCGAGTGTCCTGCACAGAGCCCTGACCTCAACCTACTGAACACTTTTGGAATGGATTGGGACCATATTGTGAACCAGGCCTTCTCATCTCACATGGTCTGATGAGTTCAATGTGGAGAAACCCAAGACCCTGACCTCAGACCAAATTAACATCTTTGGGATGTATTAGATTACCGATTGTAAGCCAGGGCTTCTCATCTGAAATGGTCTGATGAGTTCAATGTCTTCATCTTTGGGGGTGTATTAGATTGTGAGTCAGGCCTTCTCACCCAACATCAGTACCTGACTTCACAAATGCTCTTTTGGTTGAATGGGCACAAAAATTCCACAGAAACATTCAAAAGTCTTATGAAAAACCTTCCCGTTAGGGTGGCTGCTCTCATCCACAAGGGCAAGGCAACTCCATATTTATGCCTATAGGTTTGGAATGGGATGTCCAACAAACATATCTAGGTGTGACGGTCAGGTATCCACAGACTTTGGCCATATAGCGCATATACCTTGAGGAAATAGTGCTGGGATAACAATTCTACGCCTTGTGCTCGTTCTCTGAATACATAGCAACAGTGTACAGGTAAGGAGGAATGATGGAAGACGGAGTCCTTATCACATACCAACTGGGACAAAATTATCTTTGACTCATGGTTAGCAAGACGCTGTATGAGGTAGAGGACTTCACACACATACAGATGCATATTTAGCATTCTAGTCACTGTCTAGCAAGCAACATGAGCGCCTTACCTTCAGACGTCTGCAGCACCAGGGTCTTGCTATATTGGCTGACACCAGCTTTGTTAAAGGCCTTGACTCGGGCATTGTAAGTGCTGTTGAAGTGAAGCCCATCCACTGTACACATTGTCTCCTTTCCAACAAAGACCTCCTATAAATACAAATACTTTTCTAGTCTCTACAGAGCTTTTCAGAGATAGGCAAACAATTTCCAAGTAATTCAGAGTTTGTGTGCAATGATAATAAATACTGTACCTCTGGTTTCATTGTAGACCATTTCCAGGGCTTTTAAATTCCAAAAACATAATAGAAGCACATATGTGACAGTGGAATTAACGCCAGACTCTGTAAAATAGCATTGTGTTGTGTTGTATAAGGCAGTGCCCTCATCTCCCCTAGGCCCTGCATTATGCCGCCTGCAGCCTCCCATCTGTTGTGTTTTTAAGGCCTATTTGTTGGCGCTCATATTTATTGAGACGTGACTCCGCTGTTGGGGACAAGGTTTACACACTCTGCTACAGGGATTTACTGCCCCAGACACTGCAGGATGGAGAGTGAGCTATAGACATGGGAAATGCTGACTCAATCAGTCACCACTTAACCATTAATGGAATAAATCAATGACAATTCCAGACAATGCACGATGGTAAAATCAGCCAGTGAGCAATGGCCTGACAGCGGCTTTTCAGCTGATGTCTAGTTTCAGAGTAAAAAACGCAAGAGTCATTGTGAAGTATATGCACAACATAAGGGCATGTGTGTGAATATATATATATATACACAGTATATAGTAGGGTTAGGTAACCTCGGCACTCCAGCTGTGCTAAAATTTAAAATCCCATCATGCCTCTGCCTCTGGGAGTCAAGACTGTGGCTGTCGGTGATTGCTATGCTTCATGGGACTTGTAGTTGCACAACAGCTGGAGTGCTGAGGTTGCCTACCCCTGGTATACACTGAGTGGCCAGTTTATTATGACCACCTGACGTTTGTAGGCAAATTAGCTATAATTAGCTATAATTTTGCGCTGAAGTTGCTAGAGGGCCAGACCATTATAAATAGGGAAGCAGGCTGTTTACCACGACAGTAGAAGTGATTTGTTTCTGAAGATACGGGGAAACAACGCGATGTAACAGCCTTTGAACGTGGGATGATTGTTGGCGCCCGGAGCCATGGAGCGAGTATCAGCAAAACAGCAGAATTCGTTAAATGTTCAAGAGCAGCTGTTGTTAAAGTGTTTAAAGACCGGACTGTAGGCCGAAAATCTGGGTCTGAACGTGCGAATTGTGGCCGTCAGTGACTAGTCAATGTTAGGGCAGAAGAGAGAGCGGCAAGACTGGTACAAGACAACAGAAGGGCAACAGCGCAGTGTCAGATTCCTCGCATCACCTTTCAACATCTCATGGAGTCACGAGGCGGCCCAACAAAGTCACCTCGTCTAGTCATCTTGTGGCCCAACGAAGTACTGATGGGGTGGTCATAATAATCTGGCCACTCAGTGTATAGTATACATTGTAAATGTAATGTATATAAAGCAAGGTTTTTGCTTTTTTGGATGCTTTTTCTCCTTCTGCACCCTGTAGTTCATCAGCCGGCCCCTAGGTCACCATTGTGTCTGTCCTCCTGAGAGGTAAGTATTACACACAAACTATTGCCAGTATATTTATTTTATAAGTCCAGACACAAGTTTATTCCAATGGTGAATGTTTGCAAAGCCAGAGTTTTGCAAAGCTTTGCAAAGATTTTATCACTGGAAAAGACTTGTAGAAAAGTTTATGGTCTAAAAGCGCCAAGGACAATCCTTATCCCTCCTGGGGAAGAAATCGTAAGCACATATGCAAGGTGCAGCCTCAAAACAGTCAAGGGTACTGGAACATCTAAAAAACACAAAAGAAGAGGCGCCTTTCCTGGTGCAATATCGTTTAATCCAAAAAGAGAGGCATAAAAGTGAATTGACAAGTACTCACTATGTTGAAGATAAAAACAAGCCGTAGGACAATATGACCGGAGCAAAGAAAAGATCCGGATAGCGTGTCCTGTGTAAAGCACTGCTGTGTCGACGTGTTTCCGGGGCACGCCCCCTTCATCAGGACGTAATGCCAGTCTCCTCCCTGCTGTAGCTTAAGAATGGGCGGCTCGGGCGTGATAGGGTCTAGTAATCGAGGCTGATTGGACGGCGGCTGGGGACGGATGGTATCAAAGACGGCAGGCAATAACAGCCTTGTGTCTGACACCAAACTCGCGGCCAATCAGAGCTGTTGAGAACCGATAGCTATAATGACTTAGATCGGATCTACCATGAATACTGGCATATAGCAGCTGTCTAGGGCAGACAGCTGCTATATCTAGGACAGACAGCTGCTATATGCCAGTATTCATGGTAGATCCGATCTAAGTCATTATAGCTATCGGTTCTCAACAGCTCTGATTGGCCGCGAGTTTGGTGTCAGACACAAGGCTGTTATTGCCTGCCGTCTTTGATACCATCCATCCCCAGCCGCCGTCCAATCAGCCTCGATTACTAGACCCTATCACGCCCGAGCCGCCCATTCTTAAGCTACAGCAGGGAGGAGACTGGCATTACGTCCTGATGAAGGGGGCGTGCCCCGGAAACGCGTCGACACAGCAGTGCTTTACACAGGACACGCTATCCGGATCTTTTCTTTGCTCCGGTCATATTGTCCTACGGCTTGTTTTTATCTTCAACATAGTGAGTACTTGTCAATTCACTTTTATGCCTCTCTTTTTGGATTAAACGATATTGCACCAGGAAAGGCGCCTCTTCTTTTGTGTTTTTTGGAAAAGACTTGTGTTTGGACTTGAATATTACAGTGTGGCTCTTCAATTCCAAATTACTCATCCCGGCTTTTCAGCACTGGCCTGAGTTATATATGTCTGTGGACATGACAGGTTCACTTTAATGCAAGTTTCTATAATTTTTTCCCACTTTTCTTTATCTCATACGATCTTGATCATTTAAATATAAAAACGAAGTGTCCTGTAGTGTAAGTGTACTGTTTACATAGTATCTCCCACTTTAACTGAGCACCTGAAAGATATGAGATGATAACCCATCAAACCCCAATCTCACATTTTTGTCAATGGCACCCCTTTGTCTTTGGCTCTATCCACCACATTTTGGTCATTAATAGTGAAAATCCATAAACTGTCTCAATCTATGGAGAAAGAAGAACAATTACCTATTAACTGAGCCCCATAACGTCTTGAGACTCCCCGCTGAAATAGTCTACCTTGCACTTCTGCGTCTTCCGATGATTGTCCATTTATTTTTGTGAAAGCAGCTAATTTTACAACACACATCAGTCATCACAGAGGAAGAAGACTATTACTTACCCTGAACTGCCCACCATTGCCATCATCCAGTTCCAGTATGTATCCTTCTGCCTGGACCATGGACATGGGAGGCTGCTTCCAGGACAAAGTGGCACTGTTATTGTGGGTGCAGCATTCTTCCAGCTGGAGCATGGGGGGTGCCGGTACTAAAGAGGGCACTGAAAGACATGTATGGTAAAGTAAGGGTTATCAAGAATGAAATGCATTTATTTGCTGATTATTTTCCTAATTGCCTGCTTCCGTCTACAAGTAGTGCTCATTTTCAGATTCTGGCTTTTGAATTAACAGCAGTTGGATTATTCCACCATTCTGGTCCATATACCATGTGGCTACCCTTCTGTCCCTTCCCTAGGATGGCTTCATGGCTTACACTTACAATGAGCATGTGTACACCTGACAGTTACTGAAACAAAGCCTTAAGGGATTTAGCATCAGGTTTCAGTATGGCTAACAAAGCATAGATAGCATTGGGATGTGAGAAACAGACTGGGTGGGGGGCCCTACAATCGTACAATCTACATCAGATTTACCAACAACTAGATAGGGCGAGGGTCTATCTAATTGGATCTTAATTGCATGGATTGTTCAGGCAGGCCCCTACTGCGCAAGAGCCTGAAACATAACGGACGTACGGAGGTACGAATGTGGCGCACAGGAAGTGACACGTCTCTCTCTAATAGATGGCTCTATTTAAACTGGCCTGCCCAATGGATCAATGCTGAACGGTCTTTCAGCTTCTGTTCCTGAGTTCCTGTAGGTTTGATTAGCTGTTGCATTGACCCGGATTTCCTTGATTGCTACCTGCCCTTGACCTCTGCTTGCTTCCTGGATTCACTTCTGTCTTCTCCCGTGGTACCGTGCTGACCGTCTGGCTTTGGCCCCTGGCTTGTTTGACTTCGCTCCAGTTCCTGCTGCAGACGACGCTGACCTCTCAGCTGAACATTAGCCCTGCTCATCTTCCCAGGGAACCAGTTGCTGGACTACCAGGCACAGTGTCTGAACACCTTGGCACCCGTGCTTCTCTCTGTCTACTTGCTCCCTGTCCCCAGATCCAGGGGTGTGAGACAAGAGCCACAAGGGAGGCCTCCTCAGCTAATCGGTCCTCTACCAGGTACGTGATATTAGGGCTCTGTGAAGGCCACTCAAGTTCCTCCACACCAAGCTCATCAAACCATGTCTTTATGAAGTTGGTTTTGTGCACAGGGGCTCTAACATGCTGGAACAGAAAAGGGTCTTCACTAAACTGTTACCACAAGGTTGGAAGAGCACAATTGTCTGAAATGTCTTTGTATGCTGCAGCCTTAACAATACCCTGGAAACACCTGAACCCAAATATTTGGAGGGTTATCCACATACTTTTGGCCATAGAGTTATTCTTCACATTTATCGTTCGTTTCAATGTACAGATTTATTTGCTTGTAACCTCTTTGTGCATTTTCTATACCCCAGCTTTGAGACAATGAGGCATTTATAAGATTTTACTCTGAGATAAAAAATATAAAAACAAAACCTAGTTTCCCTTGAATGCTGCAAGAAGCATATTTGATTGATGTATGAGGCTCAGCAAAGATACACCAATTACTGTGATAACAGGGCAGCGGGAGATGAGATGACTTATGTATGACACTGCAGAATCCGGCACAGGCCTCGTCCCCGCTTGAACTCTCCCGCTTGACATGCTGCATCAGGCTGGCTTGGCAGGGTGACAAGAGAAAATATTTGCCAAGGCGGTACTGTTTAAATCCAAATCTACTTCCAAAGCAAACTCGTTTACTCAAGATTGGCAACTTTAATGTGCCCAAGTTTTCATCTAGCTACAACTGGAAAGCCCCCCCCCGTTATTCACACTGGATTTATTGTGTACATACACAAACATTTTCTAAGAGACTCATTCAGGACAAAGTCCTAGGGCTTTTTTTTGTGAGTGGCTGCACCTTACACCTTTTAGTGTTTCTAGTCTACCCTGATGCACATCTGTTTTGGCACAGATAGGGCTTTAATGTGATTGCAGATTTGGATACATCTATCTATATTTTCTAGGTTTATAGTAGGGAAAGGTTAGAAGACAAAATATCACATTTTCCTGTCATCTTTCCCAAAGCATTTTTTACATAATTTGCATAGTCCTGGATATGACCCTCTAAATATATCCAGCAAAATCTGCTTTTCAATGGGATAGATACATGTGATTTTTATGTAATGTAGCGGAATGGTAAGGCTTAAACTATAAGCCTTAAAGTGAACGCTGATGTTTAACTTTTGGAGAACTATATTTCTAGACGCAACATTGTGACACAGACAGGAGAAAATAATCTGTGTTAATTGTTAGCATGAAATACCTTCAGAGCAACATTTCCACAGGTTGGAAATCCACCAAAATTCTAAATGATGCTGTCTTTGCTTAAATGGAGCGTTCAGCATGAACCAACAAGATCATCTGCCAATTGTTGGGGCGTAGGGATTCATTTTGGGAGGGAGTATTTTTTATGTAATGTATAAAGATGGACTGAACTCCGTCGAAACATTGACAATAAAATGCTGATGCTTTGACTTATCTCCACTGCAAGACCCGTCTATGCTTATATGCCTACTTTGGATATATGTGTATACACAGTATGTCTATCTATCTATCTATCTATCTATCTATCTATCTATCTATCTATCTATCTATCTATCTATCTATCTATCTATCTCCAGAAAAAAGACTTCTGCTACAATCTTCAATCTTCTGTAATAGAAATATGGTACTTAGTACAACAGTTTTGAAGATCCTCGCTCTTCGTCAGATGCAAAAAGTATATTTATTTATATAGCTTTTGCCCCTTTTATTTTGGATTTTGTTTTTCCTTCTGGATCAGGTCACTGGAGACCTGATGCAGCACCCCCCATGCAGCTCTGCAGCAACAGATCACTTATAGTAGCAATCAACCAGCAATATATCACCAGCAGTGATCTGCTGCTGCAGAGGTATGTAGGAGAGCAGGTATGCATCAACCCTGCCCTATCCTTGGAACTGACAGAGAGGCATCATGGAGTCCCATCACTTACTATGTAAACACTATGCGGGAGCATTGTGTTTACAGTGCCTGCTGCCAGGGGTCCTATGTTGTGGTCTGTAGCAGGATCAGGAACCCAGTTGATGATAGTTTTAGCCCATGGGTTTAGTTCTGGACTGTGGTGTTGTTGCATATGCATACAGAGAAAAGCAGGGGTCGAATACCTTTAACATATCTGAGCATTTCATTATTGCCTGTGGCAGACTTTTGCTCTATACCACTATCCCGGCTATCTTCAGCCTATGGTAACCACACCGCACAATATACCAGAGTATGGTACAGTACTGGCTCTCCCACTCTACACCTGATTCTGACACACGTTTTTGCTATCCATGAAAGGATATGCTGTGAACATACATTGGTAAAAGACTGGTGATAGGAAATACTTTTGTGTTGCATTGAACATTATATTATTAAATAATGTAGTGAATCACCTTTCATTTGCACAAAGTCCAGCTGGTGGATGGACTGTAAGAGAGGTCCGTTGTCCAGGTTCAGATCAAAATCAGTTGTCATTCGTGGTGTGAGGGTCCCCTTTCCCCACTGGTCTTCGGTCAGGTGCACCCTCCGAATAAGGGCATCAGATATCTAATGAAACAAAGAAAAGTCCTTCAGCAGCCGATATAGTCGTCATATTTATGAAGGCGGCCTGGGGCTATGTCTATAACCTCAACAGAGATGGATAACAGATAATAAAGTTCTAGTCCCGGACTCACTGTTTTAGTTGTCACATCAAAGCCTGTCACGAGTTCTGGTTACTGCACTGGACCGCACTACAACAAATGTATGTGCATTGTGTTGCACTGCAGTGCAGGTCCATTGGCACCTACTATACTGTGCGCATTGTGGTGCCATTTATTTATTATTTTACCATGCATTCCCTTAATGCGCTGCATGGACATACTGTATGTAGCAGCTGAACTTCTACATAGGCTAAAAATGCCTGCATGCTTTTATTTCCATCTTTTCCAGATTGCTTTGGATGTACAATCTGCTAAAAACTGTTTGCACGTACATAAGTTAAGTACTTGGCTATCTCTTACACAGCCCTAGCAGCAAAACCCACCAACAAATGATCAAAATACCATCTTACCTGGAGAAAACCACTGGGGTCGTTCTCTTTAATGACCTCCAGACAATACTCCATCAGTCCAGTCGTCTGACGCAGTTTCACTGTGCAGTGAGAAATCTGATCCCGAACCACCTAAAGTAGATGGAGAAACATTACATGAAAGTCAAACCCAAACCGACATTATCAACCTTGCTCTGCCAACTGTGGATTGGCTCCTTTTACTAATATTATCCCTAAACCAACAGCAGGTGGCAGAATCAACTAACTGAATTACTGTTCCAATCAAGAAACATGTAAATGGCGTGTTTTACTGAGCTGCCACGGCTGTAGGTCACACAGTCTGTAAAGGATACATTGGGCGTGCGAATACTATGAACTGCTGCTGCTTGGAGTTCACTCCTCCCTGTCTATGATGGGATCAGCTGGGCAGTAGGATTAGCTTCCATTTCTTTCCACCTTTTAAATCACCCCTATAAATCGATTGGGGACTATCATACCCATCATCTTGTGAACTACTATTATCAGTTGTAAAGATGGATGTTCAATGAAATTGGAAGTTCTGGTATGGAAAGACGCTTGAGTTTTGGCATGGTCCAGCAGTCCAGGAGCCCTCTTTCTGTCCCTTATCATCTCACATTAAATGGGAATAGGGCCTGGATTTATACCTAGCTAATGTAGTGTTTTATAGATATAATACTGTGTATATGTATATATATATATATATATACAAGTATTGGAATTATATGGGAATGTGCTGTACCAATGCAATGTGTGTTGACAAGATTTGTGTAGTCTATTGGGATAGCTCGTGACAGGGTGACAACTCGGGAGAACAATTAGGAGAAAGGTAACAAAGCATTGTCGCCCTCTAACCAGAGGTTCCTGGACCTTCAAGCCAAGGCGAGGTCACCATGGGTTATTTTATTAAAAGCTGCAGATTTATAAAGATTAAAAACAACTTTTGCAATTACAATACATTTTAAAGCTTACATGCGACGGTAACATTAAGAGCGCTTGCCTCTTGTGGCTGGATCACTACGGCCGTATCTCGCCAGTAGACTCAGCTGTAAGAGAAAAGCTGCTTTCCTCTTGGATTCAATTTACCATCTCATCCCCCCCGAGCCTCCCAGTTTGCCCGCGGCAATTTTCCACCTCCAATGAAATCTTTCAGGATTCAGACTTTGGGAAATCCGATAGAAGGAGATTAATTATATAATATTGCGGTCTGCGAGTTACACGAGGTGAGCGTCCGTAACGCTCACGGAATGAAATACGTATCGCTCGCTGGGGAACAGCAACACAGAAAAACATAAAAGATGTAGAAGAAAGGGAAACTGGATGTTTGGCGTCTCAGGAGAGCCGAGAGCCTGGCGAGATTGGATTCTGCTGTGACACAACAGACGGTGTTTGTTTACTGCGACAGAATAATTCTGTAAGGGGGGATTGCTTTACAAATAAGGTTTATTACGAATTGCATCCACCTGAAGCAACATATATGAAAAGGAATATACAGGCAGCGGTTATATTTTACTGTTAAAGGGGGAAACCAGTCAAAAAAAAAAAAAAGGAAATGCTTAATTTCCCGTGATTGTAACAGTCAGTTTTTTTTCTCCAAGCAGTTGTTTCTTTGTTCCCCATAATGTACGGGTGCTTTATTCTGACACCATCTTTCAAGCTTGCAGCTAATTCTCTGTGTCACAGCCCCTCCCCCTGTCACAGCCCCTCCCCCTAACACACACATAAACTTTAAAGGAGAACTACGTATGAGATGAGTGATTTCCACTCACCTCATAGTTCTAGCCGACCTGTGACAATGAGACTGTCACAGGTCGGCTCAGTAGATCGGGAGGTGAGCGAACACATAGCGGCGTTCGCTCACTTCTCGATCCTGTCACTGCCGTGCCAGGGGAGGGGCTGGATCCCCCCCTCCCCGCTCCGATCCGCCAGCGCTGACTGGTGGAACGGACGGGGGAGGGGGCATAGTTCTCCTTTACAGTAGTTATAATACAGCGTTTCTCAACTTTTTTGTTAGGCACTGTAATGTATTTATTTGCCAAATAAAGGAAACCGTTTCTCTTAACAAAAAAGTATACTTAAACTCAACTAAAAGAGCAGATCCGTAAGCTTTAACATGTTAATGTAGTTTCAAGAATAATTTTGAAAAGTTTCAATTTTAAAATCTGCAGCTTTTAATAAAAGAATACCTGGCGGTCCTTGTCCAGGCACTTCCTGTTATAGGGTGACAATGCTCATTGTCATTGTCTTCTAGTGATTTCCTGAGTTGTCACCCTGTCACAAGCTCTCCCAATAGAGAATACATGGAGCCTTGCTGACACACATTAGACAGGCACGGCACACTGTTGTCTGCATCAGGAAACCCACCCTGAGAAATGCAATGCAGCCATCGCTGGAGTGCATGGAGACAGGAAGTGCCTGCAAAGAAGCTGCAGGAGAGCAAAAACACAGAGATGTAACAAAGAATGAAAAAAGGTGAAAAAGTATTTTATTAAAGAATAAAAAGCAATTGGTTATAGTACACAGTAATTAAGCAAATGAAATGCCATTGAGTATAACAGATGCAGGGTTCCAGTATAGCACTCACCTTGAGTTTGTGTTCATGTTCCTTGTTCACTCGGGCGAGAAGCTGAACCTTTCTCCTGTTTAGGGCATCGATCAGGGCGTCACACTGGGCCACCAGACAGGCCTCAAATTCCACGCTGTTCTCCTTCATCACATGTAAGAAGAAAACAAAGAAAATATGGTACCACAAATAGGCACATTACACCGTACTACAGGAATACACACAATACATATACACACACAATACAATGCATACAGTGAGTACACACATTACACCGTACTACAGGAATACACACAATACATATACACACACAATACAATGCATACAGTGAGTACACACATTACACCGTACTACAGGAATACACACAATACATATGCACACACAATACAATGCATACAGTGAGTACACACATTACACCGTACTACAGGAATACGCACAATACATATGCACGCACAATACAATGCATACAGTGAGTACACACATTACACCGTACTACAGGAATACACACAAGTATTAATGTTTTCTATGCTCTGATCATACACATCTCCCCAACTGTCCCTCTCCTAAAACCAGATCTCTTCTGTCCCTCGTTCCTCTGCAGTGTTCCTATTTTAAATTTGATATATATGCTATCCATGCCTGTCTGTGATTGGACAATGAAGGGGCAGAAGGAAACTGATGTGGTAGTCCCCCTGCCTTTCCCTTCCCTGTACGTGATATTGGCTGACTGGCTTCTAGTGCTGCCCCTCCTACTTTCAGCCTGAGTGCTGTTTCTGCCTATTAAGGATCATCAGCGGAGGGCTGGGGGTTCTTTTCAGAACTGAGTTCAGTGGAGCAATAAGTATGTGGTAGTAGTAGCAGTAGTAGCAGTAGTAGTAGCAGTAGTAGCAGCAGTAGTAGTAGTAGCAGTAGTAGTAGTAGTAGCAATAGTAGCAGTAGTAGTAGTAGTAGTAGTAGCAGTAGTAGCAGCAGTAGTAGTAGTAGTAGCAGCAGTAGTAGTAGTAGCAGTAGTAGCAGTAGTAGCAGCAGTAGTAGTAGTAGTAGCAATAGTAGCAGTAGTAGCAGCAGTAGTAGTAGTAGCAGTAGTAGTAGTAGCAACAGTAGTAGTAGTAGCAGTAGTAGCAGCAGTAGTAGTAGTACTAGTAGTAGCAGTAGTAGCAACAGTAGTAGTAGTAGCAGCAGTAGTAGTAGTAGTAGTAGTAGTAGTCCTAATTGGAGAAGGGGCTGGCTTTAAGATCACTATGGGGGCTTTTGATAAAACCAGACCACCAGTGGCACCTGGTGCTGTTGGTCTCACCCAGAGAGCTCTGGATGAAGCTACTAAACTAATAAGATAAAAAAGGAAAAGAAACAACCCTGGGTCAGGGAGGGTTAATTGCCTCCGGGCCAAAAAAATAAAAAAGCAAAATATTTAAAAAACACAAATCTGTGTGATTAATAAACAGCAAATATTATGAAAAGAACAGAACAATGTTACACACAGGGCTCAAAAACACAACACAAAATACACATCCCAATGTGGCTGTAAAAGGAGCCGTCAGATGAGGGGGCACTACAGATCGGAGAATCACACCCCACGACACACACACCGAGGAAAGAAGAACCCAACTGATCAGGTCTGTCTGTCCTCTCACATTCAAGCTTTCCTTAAAGCAGAACTCCATAAGGAATAAACATTTACAAGGGGAGCTTTTTTATTTTTTGCAGAAGAGACAACTATGCATGCCCAGCTGAGTGTATATTCCTGGCATTCCTCTGTGGCGGGATGAACTAACTCCCATGTGCATGCACGGGACTTTATGTCATCCCCCAATCGAGTTGGTCAGAGACGCCAAACACAGAAGAAGATTGGATGAAGATGTTGGCACTGGTGATAAAGCTTGTAGATGTTGCATTGCTGGAAAGAAGGCGAGTACTGGTGGCTTTAGTTACACTTTAAATAAAAGGCGCAATATTTGCTTTTTCAGCTAGACGACAAAGCTGGCGTATTACCAGACAGATGCATGACAAAAATTATTAGCATGTAATCTTACAGTGACTCTGTCATTGTAACAAATAAAAGTGTCTAGCAGGTATAAAGTGCAGGCACCTAGAGGTGCACATACCTGCAACAGCTCTCAGCTCCCACCGCTCCTCCCAAATGTGGGGCCATTCTGGTGTCAAGGCCCCTTTAAAATAACCTGTACTTACTGCCTGACCAGGAAAGTAGTCATGTGACTTTACAGCAGCCACCCTAAAGTACCTACTGACTTCCCCGGTCCACCATTCTAGCTGCTCCCAAAAGCCTAAACTTCTAGGTATAGAGTTCATCTACACCCCCGCCTCCCACTGTGTAGTGCTCATACCTGAGCGACCTATCAATCTTGTCATGTGGGGAGCAGTGGGCGTGGCTACACCTATTCAAAGGCCGCCATTTTTGAGGGTGTAGATAGGTGTGGTTGACAAATGTACCATAAGGCACATTAAGCTGGTGCCTATAGGCAGCAGTGGAAAAGAGGCAATGTTTCCCTGAACAGTGCTGGGTCATGCATTTTTTTCCCACCATCGGTAGAAGTGGGCATCTGATATCATTTTATTTACATGCTGCCACAATATTCTGTGCCAGGTTTGGACCAGTAAAAGAAGAAAATATGATCTTGGCAAAAGGGATGTACAACCATCCTGAGATTTACACAACCTCCCCCCACCCCATACACATCACAACAAGCTTAGTGACCTGAGTCTTGTGTGCTGCAGATAAGCTACATAGCTAGGTCACCTCCCCGCCCCTAGTCAGTGATTGGATAATAAAGGAGCAGCAGCCGACCGAGGATGTAATCTTTCTGCTCTCTCTCCTTCAAAAGTAGAGTTTCTGGTTATAGCAACCAGCCGGAATTCTGTTTTAATATTTCTTAAATGATTTTTATTATTATTAATTATTATAGTTTGCGCAGCGCTTTACAATATAAGAAAGACATTACAATCACAATACAATTCAGGACAAGAAGGTGAGGAGGGCCCTGCCCGTGAGGGCTTCCATTAAAGGAGAACTATGGGGGAAGTGTTTTTCCCCATAGTTCTCAGGGTCACGGGAGGACATAAACTAGCGTCCTCCCGTGACCCAAAGCTCAGTATATAGCGACTACAGCTCGTGGTATACTGAGACCGCCGCAGCGTAAACGGATCCCGATATTACTGTCGAGATCCACCCAGCTGTGTGAGTGACAGCCGGCTCTGCCTATCTAGAGGCAGAGCCAGCTGTGCCGGCCCCCCTGCCCCATCTGTTCCTCCACTCAGCGAATGGAGGATCAGAGAAGGGAGGGGGGTGGGGGAAATCCCTGCAGGGAGCTGTGAGTGACAGTCACGGCTCTCTGCAGGGACATGATGGAGAAGTGAGCGAGCGACGGCATGTGTTCGCTCACTTCCCGATCTATTGAGCCGGCGTGTGACAGTTTTATTGTCACACGTCGGCTCGAACTATGAGGCTGAGTGAAAATCACTCACCTCATAGTTCTCCTTTAATAATAAAAATAATGTAAGAGATATTATGTATATATTTATTATGAATAATATTTATTTCTATTATATTTTCTTTCCTCCAGTTTTCATAAACTCCTCCCATCACCAGACAAAGTGTACCTGGATTTGCTGTACCATGTTTCTTAGCTGGACCAGGAACTCTTTGGCTTCCTTTGCTCGGTCAGAGAGTCCGTTCAGGGCCTGGGACAGCTGACTCTGTAAGGACACAAGAAGATGGAAATATTTATAGATATCATTCCACGCATGGGTGACATAAAGTGACATTAAACCCTCAGATTTTTTAACATAAACCAATAGTGTAATGTGTGCCTTACTGTAATCCATGGTAGTTTCCCTTCTCTTTGCTGCTCTTCCTTTTAAATCCTCATGTCTTCTCATGCTGGGGGAGAACTTCCCTTTGCAGCTGAGTGCCTCTTCCTGTAGTGCTGGCTCAGGTTGTGAACCTGCACACAGACACCATGTATCCATTCCAGAGACAAGGCAGTCTGCTGCAAAACAGAAGTTCTGCCCAGCATGAGAACAGATACAGATTTAAAAGGAAGAGCAGCAAAGAGAAGGGAAACAACCATGGATTACAGTAAGGCGCACATTACAGTATTGTTTTATGTTAAACAATCTGAGGGTTTAATGTCACTTTAATCTTAATATGGGTGCAGGAAGCTGCTGTACTATAAGGTGCAATGGCCAATGTATAGTATAAAAAGTGCACAACGCTACCAATATTCCAAAATACTGACAACTACACTACAATGTCTCGATATCTGTAAGTCTCAATTCAGGTGCATTGTAAATAATTAATTAAATCATCCCTTCAACATATTTCAAACATTGCAAGTTAAAAATGTCCATACATGTCTTTCTATACGTGTAATATAAATGAAAATATTAGACAAATAAATATTCAATCTTAAAATTCCACATATAAATAATTTAAATAAATATTCAGTTGTTTCTATATATAAAAGTGATAAAAAGTCCAAGCCCGTGCTCTACACAACAATAGTACCTTCATACAATTAAACGTTCTGCTCCTAAAAGATCCACACCACGGGATTTCCATGTTTAATGCTCCTTAAAAATGACAGCTGGCACCTAACTTTTGGTTTTCTCTAGTTGTCAATGGAGCTGGCGCCTGAAATAAATTCTGCCGGCTCCCGGATTGAACAGACTGGTTCCCGAATTCTATAATAATTTGTCCACACCAGCTCTAACATCTTAGTGTCTGTACGGCTAAAATGCATCATCTGCCATTTTTATTATTTAATAAAACGCAGTTTTGGGCCCTTTGACCATTCGTGCAAAACGTTTACCGCTTCTTTTACGGTTTAGCTCTAACATACTGACAGAGGTTTAACCCTTTCCTATTTCTACAAAGAAAGTATATTTATTCCTGTCCTCGTTCAACATATTTCCAGGCGTTCCCTGTCTCTGACACACTGCAGCCATAGCAAGATGGTAAGAGACAAACTCCCTAATGCAGGGCTGGGCAACTGCGGCCCCCCAGCTGTGCCTCTGCCTCTGGGAGTCATGCCTGCAACTCAGTGGTGTAAAAATCGCCATAGCGACCCAGGCGGCCGCTATGGGGCCCTGGCACAGGGGGGTCCGGCCAGGGCATCCCTCTGATTCCGTGTGGGCCGCTATGGCATGTAAGGGTGCTGGCTGTCACGCCCACAGCTCAGCAGCGGCTGTGAAGATCACTGATTGCCCATCACAGCCGCTGCGGAGCTGTGTCAGTGACAGACAGCAGCTGCGGCAGAAGAGGCCGGCGTTCGCAGTGAAGGAGGAGGCGGGGCCCGCCTAAGAGCAACCCCGCCTCCTCTTACAACACTGGCAGGCGACCTAAGAGCAGGTGGGGCCCGTCGATAGAAGAGGAGGCGGGGCCCGGGGACGGAGAGGGGGGCGGGGCCCGGCAACCACGGAGGCGGACAGTGCTGACAGGTAAGAGGTGTGCAGCCCATCTGAGACCCGCAGAGCCCACCATAAAAAGTCTATGGTGGGCTCTGCAGGGTCACTCTCAGGTGGGCTGTTTGGTATATCAGTTGGACTCTGCACGTGCCAAAACTAGCAATCACGGGGCCCCATACAAAATTTTGCTATGGGGTCCTGCGATTTCTAGTCACGCCCCTGCTGCAACTGTCAGTCTTGCAATATCTCATGGGACTTGTAGTTCCGCAACAGCGGGAGGGCCGGAGTGGGTATATGGCCCTAATAAGTATAAAGCCGGCCATACACCTATAGATTATCTGCAGATTTTCTATGATCAGATTCCTCCATCTACGCTAAACTGTGTGGATGGAGAAATCTCCCACTGGGCCAAGCTTCAATATCTTGCTAGTCGGCCCCGCTGGCTCTCAAAACACCTGAACAATGCCTGCATCCAATCAGACTGTTCAGGAGTTTTGACAGCCAGCGGGGCCGACTAGCAAGATAGATAGAAAACTACCATAGAAAATTTGCAGATAATCTATAGGTGCATGGCCGGCTTAAGCAATAACAAGCTGACAAAGCTTCTAACTGAAGTTGGCCTTTATTGTGAAAGACACCTCAACATGGGAGGGGGCTACGGCAGAGCCAAGCTTGGCTTTGATAGGAAAAGTCAAGAATTACATTAGAGCGCCCTCTATGCGCTGGCATCTCAGTCTAGGAAGTAGATGGTGACCCTGGATGATGGCTGAACAAAGATTGCGCCTTCCTTGTGGAGAGGAAATGCAAATGAAGGCATTGTCAGTAGGTCCAAGTGCTTTATTTGGGGAAGAGATTCCATTCGAGAGGCCGGCGCTTCCTTCGTTGAGTCGAATCTCACCTAAGACACTTGATAAGAATTTGTTTTAAGTGTGTTTTGTCATCATGTTACTTTAATGAATGTGCTGAGCTCCCAGAAAGATCTCTGAAGAATTAACCCAGACGCCCCTCATTAATTCACCATTAATTAACAAGAACTGAAGATTTGATGTGCTGTGATTCCATCCCCTAGCTGGGATTAATATTCTAAATTACAGTCAGGAGACAGTAACACCAGTCTACAGGAATCAGCATTGTGCTTAGATGAACCATGGGGCCATATCATTCCAAGGACTGTTTATAAAAGGGGTGAATGGTTGGGAACATCCTATGGATATTGTGTGTATAGAAAGGGTGAATGTTGGGGTTAAAGGGAGGGTTAGGGTTCCAGAGAGGGTGAATGTTATTGTTACAGGAAAGGTTAATGTGAGGGTTCCAGAGAGGGTGAATGTTATTGTTACAGGAAAGGTTAATGTGAGGGTTCCAGAGAGGGTGAATGTTATTGTTACAGGAAAGGTTAGTGCGAGGGTTCCAGAGAGGGTGAATGTTAGGGTTACAGGAAAGGTTAGTGCGAGGGTTCCGTTCCAGAGAGGGAGAATGTTAGGGTTACAGGGAGGGTTAGTGTTAGGGTTCCAGAGAGGGTGAATGTTAGGGTTACAGGAAAGGTTAGTGCGAGGGTTCCAGAGAGGATGAATGTTAGGGTTACAGGGAAGGTGGTTAGTGTGAGGGTTCCAGAGAGGGTGAATGTTATGGTTACAAGGAGGGTTAGTGTTAGGGTTCCAGAGAGGGTGAATGTTAGGGTTACAGGAAAGGTTAGTGCGAGGGTTCCGTTCCAGAGAGGGAGAATGTTAGGGTTACAGGGAGGGTTAGTGTTAGGGTTCCAGAGAGGGTGAATGTTAGGGTTACAGGAAAGGTTAGTGCGAGGGTTCCAGAGAGGATGAATGTTAGGGTTACAGGGAAGGTTAGTGTGAGGGTTCCAGAGAGAGTGAATGTTAGGGTTACAGGGAGGGTTAGTGTGAGGGTTCCAGAGAGGGTGAATGTTAGGGTTACAGGGAGGGTTAGTGCGAGGGTTCCAGAGAGAGTGAATGTTAGGGTTACAGGGAGGGTTAGTGTGAGGGTTCCAGTGAGGGTGAATGTTAGGGTTACAGGGAAGGTTAGTGTGAGGGTTCCAGAGAGGGTGAATGTTAGGGTTACAGGGAAGGTTAGTGTGAGGGTTCCAGAGAGAGTGAATGTTAGGGTTAAAGGTAGTCTTAGTGTTGGGTTACAGGGAGGATTAATGATACAGGGAGAAAATTGGAAAAGGGCCGCTAACTGTTTATACTGATTTTCCTCTAGAAATATACAATATATGATACATTTAAATTCAGGGTTTTTTTGGGGGAAGAACAGTGATACGCCATACCGTAGCATTCATTTTTATTTTTTTACCTGTGTATACTTTTGTAGTCTAAGACTGTTATATACTGCAGCTGCTATGATGTAGAAGTTTATGGAATATATTCAATTGCGTTTAAATGACAGAATTACATATCACAATGTCCTCTGCTGAGTCACAAGTTGGGGGCTGTAAATGTATATTATGTAGTGTGTTTAATTTACCAGTCGCGTCTTGGGGAAGCCTTTGAAGAACGGTCTGGTTACTGAATGCTTTTTAGTCATGAACTTCAAGAATCATAATTATTACATGTCGGGTTTTCAAGACGCTGAATGACAGTTAGACAAGAAACACAAACCTGTCCACTGGAATATAATCTACTTACAATGGGTTTGGACACATGTGTCCTAGAGAAAGTGACCCTTTAAAATACATGTCCAATACATACCAGTACTGTTGCCAGTGTAGAGTACTCTTATGTAGAGCTAGAAGTGATCCTAGGATCTTCAGCATCAGATATGTCTGGGGGTGTTGAATGTTTTCCCCTCCACATTGCCCGCTGTGGCTTGACCCACTGGCCGCTATGTCACTAATATGTACCTGCAGCTCTGTATCAGACATTTTGGATGCTGAAGGTCCAGCTATCCCCAACCAATCTACGACCGCCGGTGACACAATCATCCCGCCCGGCAGCGAGAGAGTTAAGGTGAATTTTAAAAAGATGAGATGCAACGGTTTTCATCAGCGGCAGTAATCCTCCCTAAAACGACCTTCAAGACTCAGGCGATTGGAATTAATATTGCATGGCCTCCCCGGTCTCTGCGAAGGTAATTAGTTGTCTCCTTTCTGCGGCAGAATTAGATGCTGAGATTGGAATAGAATTAGTCGGGCCGGGAGGAAAGGCAGCATCGCAGCTGGAGAATAAATCAGAACACTTAAAGTGTAATGAAAAGCTGCGCGGTAAAGAAGGTACGCGGGGATGTGTCGGTCAGTGCAGAAGGACAGCGACATGTCTGACACTCGGGACTCCAGGGGGGTT